GTCCGTCGCTTGGTGCGGCTGTCAGATGTTGTTAATCATGACAACTGCTATGGCAGACGACTTCGGACTAGATGTCTTCTAGATAGTCGCCCTGACAACAAGACGCACTTCAATAATATTAGTTATTGGAACGCGAAGCGGGTTGTTTTGATAGATAAATCATGTAATATTGTACAAGGCAAAAGAAGGAGTTGAATAGTACCGGCGGCCGCAAGTCCCGTGGGATTATGTGCAACAGCTGCGGCGGCCGCGACTGCCGAGACTGCGGCCAAATATGGCGACAGGTGAGTGGCGGCGGCCAGTTGTGGATGCGGATGCGAGTAGGCCGTGGGCGGCGCCAATTGTCCGACCGGCGTGGTCGCGCCGCCTCCATTGGCTGCGAGCAGGGCGCCCGCAGGAGCCAGACTCGCGCCGTTGCTGGTGGCGACGGAGGAGCCGGGGCTGCCGGGACAGGCGGACATGTGGCCGCCGGCGCTGGCGATAGGAGAGCTGGGCGGCACGACGGCGCCATGGAGACCGGCTGGCCCGGCCAGCTGGCCGCAGGCGAGCAGCGGGCCCGCGAGACTGCCGGCGCAGTTGGAGACGAGGCCGGGCGGCGTCGGTGCGCCGCCGAGCATGAGTCCGCCGCACGTGGAGACGACGGCCTGCAGACCGGCGAGGCGAGAAGAGGAGCAGGCGGTGGTGGAGGCGGGCAGGCCGGCGGAGAGCGGACCGGGGCCCGAGAGCACTCCGTTGAGACCGGCGCCGGGTGAGACCGAGGCGCCGGGCGAGCCGGAGCCAATGGCGAGTGCGCTGGCGGGGCCCGAGAGACAGGCGGGAGTCGCGCCACCGCCTGGACCAGTGCCGTGCCCGAGGCCGAGACCAAGGCCCAGGCTGAGGCCCAGATTGAGGCCGAGCGGAAAGGCGGGAGCAGTGGCTGTGATCGGACTCGCCAGACCCGGATGCGCTCCCGGATGTGACGTGCACGCCGCGGCAGCATAGAAGGCGGCCAGAGTGGCCGCAGTCGCGGCATTCGGATCTTGGCCTAGAAGAAAAGAGAAATAAAGAAACTGGTACAAGCCAAAGTAAGGCAAGCAAAAAGACGAAAAGGCAAACAAATCAAAAGAGATAACAAAGAAGGTGTGCATAAATTAAATGAAAGACTGGAAAAGACAAGGAAAGAATAAAAAGCGAAATAACGAAATAATCAAACAGGAAAAGGAAATGATAAAGAAGATAAGGAGAAATAAGAAATAGAAACAAGTAGACCAACAGGCTGACAAGCCCACATAGACACAAACAGAAATACAAATACAGGAAAGTAATTTTCCGAGACGAAATAGAGAAAATATGGACCTAAGAAAACATACTTATAAACGAAAGTATGCCATGTGGTAGAATATAATAGTAAATGCAACTTTGCATTATAGCCAATCCCACACGAAAACGTAAAAGGGAATTACCATCTTCGTAGTGACTCAACGCCACTCTAAGCAGTGTGCGAAGAGATGAACGTATCAAACCATACGCTGTACTATCACAACCCGGGTTTGAGTGCCCTTGGGTGTGTTGAAAAGGCTATTTCAGGTCAGGTCGAAATTGCAGTCTAGTCTAGCCAGGATTAGAATAGCTTAAAAGAAGCAAGGCTATAAAATTAAAGGGAAACATAAAGCCTA